GCTTGTTTATGGAGCCGGCTTTGGAACTTGAGTTTCTTCCTTTCAAAGCTACTGCTCATTAGATGAGAAGGCCACCCCAGGCCTTTACTCTATCTGCTGGAAAGTAAATGAAGAGTTAAGAGCGTGAATCAAAGAGCTCTATTATACCAGTAAGCTAGCTCTCCATTTTTGCCTTCATACAAACACCAAGAAGAGAAAAGAAAAGAAATAATATGAAACCAAAGCCTAGCATAGTCTCTGTATTCCCAGCAAAGGTTTAGAACCTATACAAACCTGTTTACAAGCCAAAATCGCCAAACCAACTCACCAAATATCCTTTACCGAAACATTTGCCGTAACCTTTTCGTCAGCCAAACCAGTGATACTACAGGCAGCATCAGCTTCGAGGCTTGATACGGTTACTAAGAACAAGTCACCACGAGCATCACAGAGTTTACGGAATTGAATTCCGAACTCAGACGAGGGAGAAACAAGGCCGGGAAGTTGGTAGTGAGGTAAGGGAATTTCCAGTTTTCTGCAAATTTTGGACAGCAGCAAATTAAGAATTAATCCCTAATTTCGTACTAACGATGATCAGCTCGCAGTTTCTTCGTTTGACGTCCAAACGACGAACTGTTTTCGCCTACAGGACCGTAGAAACAAGGAAAAGTTTTAGGAGCCAATCTCTGTAATTTTAGTACTTAATTCCCGACTTGGAATCAGCTAAATTAAGGTGTGTGGGGATTATGAGGACCTTAATTATTGCATTGATTAATTATGTTTGATTTACATATTTGGATGGATGGATTACTGTGGGTTATAACTTATTTATTGATATGATGATTTGGTGATTATTCTTGATTGTTATGGATTTTACGGTGTAAATATCGGTATTTGACAAGTTTCACCGTAAAAATGAATAGTTGGGTTTATTGAGTATAAAGCTGATCTAAGAGATTTTTGTTTGTCTATAATGATGTTGGGGCAGATTGAGCAAAAGGTTTCACTTGAACATGGTTTGCGGATTAAAAACTGCATAACGGTGAATTTTACGAAAAGTTCGGTAAAAACGTATTTTAATTATCTTTAAGATGTTATTAACTTTAAAATGGTCAGAGTGGCTTGTTAAATTTTTCTTGATATTAAAAAGGGTAAATTAGACAGTTGGTGAAGTTTTTATCTTTAAAATGATAAAAATGAGCATAATACGAGATTTGCGATAAATACCGCGTGTAATATTATTTTCATGGGTTTGAGCTATTGAAAAATATTAAAACTGGACAGACCTGTTTTAGGATGATAAATGAAGGTTCTTGTGTTTTTGGGAGATTTTCGGAGTTACCGTTTTGTTAGAATTTAAATTATCGTAAAATAATGGTTAATACGAAAATTTTGAGATTTTATTCTCTAAATGGTTGTTTATGATCAGAACTGGATTAAATGGTTTTTGGTGTCAATAAAATAATTTATATGGATTTTATGAGGATTTTAACGAAGGAAAATGAATTAAAAGTACTTTCACCGCAAACCGGTTATTCATGATTATTTTGAACCGAGGTTATTATGTGAAGTTGTGTGATAAATTTTGGATGAGGAATTATGATCTAGAACTGTTGAGTATTGTCACTGAAGGATGATGATGATTTATGTGATTCGAGATTGGATGTTGGATTGGATTTCGAGAATGTGAGTTGAAAACCGACATGAAATAAGTATGGATTGGGAATCAGTGGGATGACATTGATTCCTGGATTGATTGAGATGATGATGAGTTGATGAGATGAGAAACATGAGATCCATTTGGATTGGGAACTCAATGGGAATGCATTGATTCCTGAATTGGTTTGATGAAATGTTTGACGTGAGATATGCATGGACCAGTTAATCAGTGGGACTGCACTGATTCTGGATCGATTATGCATGGACCGGTTAATAAGTGGGACTGCATTGATTCCGGATCGTTTGTGATGGATGAGAGAAATGGAATTGTTTGATTCGTGATCATATTAATTCACATAGACGTAGAAAGGGCTTGCACTTTTACCCCCAGATGATTATGGGTTTGGGTAGATCTAGCTCGCATCTGCGCATATGGTGGTTGCATGAGCACCACGAATGATGATTTGCTCAAGCGGGGGCAAGTGTATGGTGACCTTGGCGCCATTGATAATTAATGGGAATTTCCATATCATGCATTGATTATGTGTTCGTGAAATTATGTGATTATCTTATTGGATAAATTGATTTGGTGATGATGAGTTGGTGGATTCGATAATTTGATCGATAATTTATATATGATGATTTAAGAGGGCATCTAGAGTACTCAATTATGATTGTTTACGACTGTTTCATTAGCTGATTGCGGTCTCAAAACTAGGTCGTGGGAAAGACCCACGTCTGTTTTCAGGCTCGCAGGTGCAACTAGGATCGGACTACTGAGGCCGCCTATCCTTCTGTACTACCATCATGAGGTAGTTTGGAACACTGTTCTGTCATGGTCACCTAGGATTTTGCTTTGAGTGTTTGAATAATAAACCCACATTTTGTAAAATTCAATAAGTGGGTTGGGATTCGAATAATGAGTTTGTATGATAACGACTTATGTTTGTGGTTAATTATCGGATATGATGTTTTAGATGATTGAGTTCAACCAGTAACACCGATGATTTGGCTGCGCGGTTGAACCACGAGTTCAACCATAGAGATTATGGGTGGGGTGTTACACTCGAAACCATACCTTTTTGGAGGTACTCCTGCAGTCGCTCTCTTCGGTCTACCGGAAGCTATAGACCGTTGAGCTCCTGCACTGGACTTTGAAGTTTCTAGCTCTGTAGAAACATCCTTATGTTGATTTTCTCCATCTTGTTGCTTAAACTCACTCTCATTGAGAGTTTGTAGCTCCACATGCTTAACAACATTCCTGCTACCTTCAACAACAGTAATTTTCAACATGGGGTTAAACCTAGACTTCTCATCAAATATCACATTTCTACTGAGTATAACTCGATGCTCAGAAGGTGACCATACTCGAAATCCCTTAACTTCATCTCCGTAACCCACAAATACACCCTTCTTTGCCCTTGGGTTCAGTTTACCCTCATCCACATGATAATAAACAGGACACCCAAAAACTTTCAATGAAGAGTAATCAGCAGGCTTACCATACCACACTTCATAAGGAGTCTTAAACTCGATACCTGTGTGAGGTCCACAGTTGATCAGGAAGCACACCATGTTCACTGCTTCTGCCCAGAATCTTCTCTCTAGTCCAACATTAGAGAGCATGCACCGTGTTCTCTCCAACAATGTATGGTTCATCCTTCTGCAACGCCATTCTGCTGTGGTGTATCTCTAACGGTCCGATGACGGGCAATCCCTTCATCCTTGCAGAATTCGTTGAACTCAGAATTACAAAACTCCAGAGCATTGTCCGTTTGCAGCTTCTTGATCTTCTTCCCGGTCTGATTCTCCACCAATGTCTTCCACTACTTGAACTTCGTGAAAGTCTCACTTTTCTGCTTCATCATGAAAATCCAAGTAAATCTCGAATAATCATCAATAATAGACAGAAAATACATGCTTCCCGAACCTTTATGGACCCGATTCCAACAACCTTGCAGACAGCTCCATTTGCCATGACCAAGTTACCACCATCTATCTGCTCGTAGGTTGTGAAGCAATCCCTGTTCGGAGACATATAGTATGAGGCTGCAGTATCCAGAAACCACACATCCCCACGATGTGCCTTCTCATCTATAGCTAAGGTGAGATCGTCTTCAGAACTGTTGTCCACTTCTGCCACGACAACTGAACCTTGTTTCTTCTGTTGCCCTCTTCTCCTGGGACAGTTGTACTTCCAATGCCCCACTTCCTTAGAGTTGTGACAAGCATCACCTGGCTGTGGACCGGGACCCTTTAAATTCTTGTTCGAATTCCATTTACCAGATTTCTTCATTCCCTTTCCACCTGTAACAGCCAAACCTGATGTCTCACCACCTGTACCAGATTCGGACGCCTTATGCCTGATCTCTCTCGTATGAAGAGCAGACCTAACATCCTACAACGACACACTTTCTTTACCGGCAATAAAAGAATCAACGAAATTCTCATATGAACTCGACAAAGAAACCAGCAGGATTAGGGTAGCATCCTCGTCATCAACTTGAACATCTATATTACGCAAATCCAGCAAAATAGAGTTAAGATGTTCGAGATGTTCCCTCAAAGGCGTATCTTCTTGCATCCTCAAGCTGAACAACCGTTGCTTGAGATGCAGCTTGTTGGTTAGAGACTTCGTCATATACAGACTCTCCAATTTCAACCACAAGCCTGCGACAGTCTTCTCATCAGCTAGTCCACGGGCGAGAGAAAGCCAGTTTCACTATATCGAGGAGATTACAAATTACAGAGGAGATGAGAAGTATTTATACTTCTCCATGTGGGTGTAAACCTAATCCAATATGGCAAAGAACAGTTACAGACCAGTTCCAGAACCCGAACTCAAATAACATCGAGCCCATACACCGCGAGACCCCCGACTAATCCATTCGTAGCGGCTGATAGTCCGATTCAAGTCATATCAACAATTATGTTAATGTTTACGACGTTATGGTGCAAGTTGGGATGCTTTTACTTTATATTTTTGTTATGTACTAAGATTTAGGGTATTAAAATTATTCATGCATGTTAGGATTAATGTTTTAAAGCAAATAACAATCATTTTTCTTGGTTATTGGTTAAATTTATTGTGTGGTTGACTAAACAAATTGTTCAATTTTCATTGAGGGTGGTTTATCTGGACCAGACCAAACCAAACCAGACCGCACATGTGTGGTCTGGACCGGACCGTATAGTCTGTGGTCTATACTTCAACCTCACGATCTGGACCATAGACCGTATATATGATCAGATTTGGACCAGACCGTACCTTTTTCCAGCCCTATTCAACTCATGCACCATTAAAAAAATCAACGCAACACATACTATGTGTTATTACACCATAAGCAGACGTGGCCACACACTGCCTATTATTCCATTTTCTGTAGTCATACAACTATATATGTTTCAACTGCAGCTTAGTATCTGTATATGTATTGGGTTGAATCAATCTTAGTCTCCACAGTCGACGAACTGGTAGTCAACCATGAGGTGGCCTTGAGCTTTCCCTTTTCCATCAGTATCAAGCCTCCTGAAAACACCAACGTCCAAATCCAGCCCTCCATTGCTACACTGGTCCACTATCCTCACCGTCTCCTGCGCGCCCGTTCCCCTGTTCGTCACCTGCGTCCGTACTTATACATACCGTAATTAACAAAGGGTAATTCGTTGTAATACCGAATTACCGATCGAACAAATATTGTGTAAAATGATGAACATGCGGGCGTACCCTTAATCAGCGGCCACAAGAAGCCTGACCGCGTGGTCCAACCGGCCCACAGAAAGCGGTCCAACCGTACTTCTGGCGCCAGGCCAAGGGCTTGTCGGCGTCCCAGGTAGAGCAATACGCGCTAGCTACGGTCAAGCTCCACCCAATCTGCTCCGGGTTGTACAAATGATAGGTAGACGGTAGACCGGACATTTGTAGCACTCTGCCCGCCGGCTGACGTGATGAAGAGACAGAGCAGCAGGATGTGTTTCACCACACCTAAATTCTATCTCTCCATTTTCCTTTACTTCTTCTTTTTCTGGTTAATTATAAATGAAGGTGAGATTTGTGAACTGGGGGTCGTTTGGAAGTTGCGATTGTTAAATAGATGTATTGTTGAGAATGCATGTATAATATTTGTTTGAACCTACTAGCTCGAGGCATGAACAATGATATTTGTTGTGTGGGTTGACTCGTCATCCGTTCGTCTGATCTCGTCGGGAGGGAAGAAACCTGTGAAAGAGTTGGGGTTGCCCCCCGGATTAAGCTCCGACGCTCAAGTTAGTGTATGTTTGTGGAGAGAGTTGAGAGAATAGATAGAGAGATAAAGTGTAGAGAGATAGTAGAAAGTGGAAAGTGAGGAGAGAGAGAAAAGTCCCCCTCTTTGGAGGGCATCAAGCCCTTATATACCTGTCGCGGGTATCGAGCGTTGGGCATCGCCGATTATGCGCCCTACTGCTTAGTCTGTGCGCTCGGTCCCTTAGTCACACCCCCAACAATTGCCCCCCAAGCTGGTGGTGAGTTTTAACTCATCGCTAGCTTATATTTTATTTTTTTAAATCTTTGTCGGTAATTTTGGGTGGGGCCTATGTACCCCAGTTGCCCCCCAGCTGGTGGCGCGTTTGAGTGACGCGGTGCCAGCTTCTTGCGTCTTGCCCCCCATTAGCGCCATTAACGCTTAGGAAGTAAAAAATTTCAAATTTAATAATGATAGAGTACTTATCTTTATATTGGTACCGTGGCGTCAGGACCCTCAGTTTGGAGTCTTCGATGCTCGTATTGAAGTCTTATTTGTGTGCTTCGTTGAGACTTATTTGTGGCTCCTCGTCGGGGTTTTTAACCCTCAGTTTGGAGCCCTCCTCGTCGGGGATGGCACACCCTCAGTTTGGAGTCTTCGATGCTCGTATTGAAGTCTTATTTGTGTGCTTCGTTGAGACTTATTTGTGGCTCCTCGTCGGGGTTTTTAACCCTCAGTTTGGAGCCCTCCTCGTCGGGGATGGCACACCCTCAGTTTGGAGTCTTCGATGCTCGTATTGAAGTCTTATTTGTGTGCTTCGTTGAGACTTATTTGTGGCTCCTCGTCGGGGTTTTTAACCCTCAGTTTGGAGCCCTCCTCGTCGGTGATGGCACACCCTCAGTTTGGAGTCTTCGAGGTAATGTGAGAGTAAAATATTTCAATATTTGATAGTGATAAAGGGATAGAGTACTTAGCTTTCTACTGGCGAAGTGGCGCGAAGAGAGTTACCAGCTTCTTGCGTCTTGCCCCCCATTAGCGCCATTAACGCTTAGGAAGTAAAAAATTTCAAATTTAATAATGATAGAGTACTTATCTTTATATTGGTACCGTGGCGTCAGGACCCTCAGTTTGGAGTCTTCGATGCTCGTATTGAAGTCTTATTTGTGTGCTTCGTTGAGACTTATTTGTGGCTCCTCGTCGGGGTTTTTAACCCTCAGTTTGGAGCCCTCCTCGTCGGGGATGGCACACCCTCAGTTTGGAGTCTTCGATGCTCGTATTGAAGTCTTATTTGTGTGCTTCGTTGAGACTTATTTGTGGCTCCTCGTCGGGGTTTTTAACCCTCAGTTTGGAGCCCTCCTCGTCGGGGATGGCACACCCTCAGTTTGGAGTCTTCGATGCTCGTATTGAAGTCTTATTTGTGTGCTTCGTTGAGACTTATTTGTGGCTCCTCGTCGGGGGTTTTAACCCTCAGTTTGGAGCCCTCCTCGTCTGGGATGGCACACCCTCAGTTTGGAGTCTTCGAGGTAATGTGAGAGTAAAATATTTCAATATTTGATAGTGATAAAGGGATAGAGTACTTAGCTTTCTACTGGCGAAGTGGCGCGAAGAGAGTTAAATAAGAGTGCTGCGCCAAAGAATCACAACGCGCATATGTAGTCTACTGGTATTGTTGCTTGTCACGCGGAGGAGTGATGCGGGTTCGAACCCTCGCGGTGATGATATTATTTTTGATGGGGCGCCTGTTGGATGCGGGGCGAGAGTTGGGCCGTGCGCTTGTGGCGGGCTTAATGTGACGCGGGTGAGTCGGACGGGCCGCGAGTTGGGCCTGACACGGAGTGGAGGACTGGAGGTCAGGCGGAGGTTGACTTGTGCGAAGCGGCGCGAAGAGTTGTTAAAATGCAGACGTTGCGCCAATGAAGTAGAAGGCTTGTATGTGGCCTACTGGTAATAGCGCTTGTGAGGCGGAGTGATGGTGCGAGTTCGAGTCCTTGCGATGATGACAATAATATTTTTGATGTGGCGTCTGTTGGATGCGTGACGCGAGCCCGCATGGAGGATTGGGCCTGGTGCGACGCGGGCTGGTGGAGTGCACGGCACGGGCCGCGACTTGATATGAGAGTACTGCGCCCAATGATCACCAAGTGTGCATGTAGCCTGCTGGTGACGTTGCTTGTCTAGGGGAGGAGTGTCACGAGTTCGAACCTTTGCGGCGATAATAATATTTTTGATGTGGCGTCTGTTGGATGCGTGACGCGAGCCCGCATGGAGGATTGGGCCTGGTGCGACGCGGGCTGGTGGAGTGCGCGGCACGGGCCGCGACTTGGTTGGGCCGCGCGGGCTGGTGGGTTGCGCCTGGTGAGGCGGGCTGGTGGAGTGCGCGGCACGGGCCGCGCGAGCTGGTGGGTCGCGCTAGGTGCGAGGCGGGCTTATGTGGCGCGGGAGACAGGCTTTATATGTTTGAGCGCGGAGTTGGATCACCAAGCGCTCATGTAGCTTGCTGGCGATGTTGCTTGCTTGGCGGAAGAGGGGCGCGAGTTCGAATCGCGGCGGAGGCAGTATTTTTTTTTTATTTTTTTATTTTTTTTATTCACTCACCAGCCTGGCACCCACTTGCCTTTCTTTTTCTGACACAAGGAGAAAGTAGTGGTAACCCCTTTTTTTTGCATCGATGCTTGTGCCTTTCTTTTTCTGACACAAGGGGAAAGTAGTGGTAACCCCCCCCCCCCCCCCTTTTTTTTTTATAGGAGAAGCCTCCATGACTACACTGACTTGCTCTTCTTTGGTGAAGTTGGTGCCATTAAGGAGAGGTTTCTTGCGGAATGAGTAGGAGGAAGAACAAATATTGACTTGTTACGTTGTTGTCGTCGGTAGTGGATGCTGGGTAAGGAAACCTTTTTCTTTCTCACAGAGGTAGTCGTGCGATCACCGTCTCCATCGCCCCTCGTCCTTCGGAGATCAGACGAAGAAAGTTGTTGAATCAGCCCCACGGTGGGCGCCAATTGTTTGAACCTACTAGCTCGAGGCATGAACAATGATATTTGTTGTGTGGGTTGACTCGTCATCCGTTCGTCTGATCTCGTCGGGAGGGAAGAAACCTGTGAAAGAGTTGGGGTTGCCCCCCGGATTAAGCTCCGACGCTCAAGTTAGTGTATGTTTGTGGAGAGAGTTGAGAGAATAGATAGAGAGATAAAGTGTAGAGAGATAGTAGAAAGTGGAAAGTGAGGAGAGAGAGAAAAGTCCCCCTCTTTGGAGGGCTTCAAGCCCTTATATACCTGTCGCGGGTATCGAGCGTTGGGCATCGCCGATTATGCGCCCTACTGCTTAGTCTGTGCGCTCGGTCCCTTAGTCACACCCCCAACAATATTATACATGTATTGTCGAATTTGATGCATTGTAGAATACAACGTTTGGTATGTGTGATTGTGTATGTCGCACCAGCTAAAAGCTGAGACAAAACAATCTCAACTCAACTATCTCAACAATCACAACTAACAGTTGAGATATAACAATCACTCAAAATGAGTGATAGTTTCTGCCACATCACAGAAACAATCCATGTATTGTTTCTGCTAAAAAAACAAAAAAACAATGCATTGTAAACAATACATGCATAATGACAATCTCAACAAAACTAACGTAACTTCCAAACGACCCCTGGGTTTTTTTTTTTCCAATTTATAGGGGAGAAGTAATATAAACTAGAAAGGACGATGGAGTCCCGTCCCTCCAGCCCGACAATGTTGAAAAATCAATGACTCTATTACTACGACTGATATCGTCCTTTCATTTGGTAGCAGTAATCGTAGAAACAGAACAGTTAGAATTGTGAAGGAAGGGGAAACTGATATCTAGAAGTGGCTCTTTTGGACGTCATCTAGAGATGATTGATGGCTATTGAACGCTTGGATTCCACAAGGGAGACAAATGGTTGGAGATGGGCTGAAGATAAGAGAGTAGAGTAGATTTGTCGAGGTGGGATCACTCTTTCCAACATGTCTAGTCAAAGTTGGTGACTGTAGAAGTCAAGTGAAGCTCTCTTCTATGCGCCAAAATGCACATAAAGCCTTTTTTATAACTATTGATCGATTATTTAGATGGTTTTTTAACTATTGTTTTTCGGCGAAGAAAACTCTAGGTGTTTGATTTCAATTAATGCACCTTGATTTTTTGAACAACTAAAATCGACACGGTTCACTATTCTCCGAACAATGTTCGAATGAGGGTATTTGATGTGATTGATAGTTTTTTTAGAACAAACTACCTTAATTACTCATACTCCTATAGAGGTTTAGTGAGAGCTACGAAAACTAAAGGTTACGGCTAAATTGGAGTTTTTTCCAATAATAGCACCCTAAAAAAAAATTACAAAACTAGCACACATATGAAAAAAATGACAGAAATAACACCTATTTCTATGGAACGCACCTCCATGATGCGTTTTATAAGTAAACCGCACTTGAAAGATGCGTTTTACTAATAAACCGCATCCTGGAGGTGCGGTCTCCATGACGAAACGCATGCCAGCGCGGCGATCCGCGCCAGCTGCGGAACGATCTTTAAAACCGTTGGATGGAAAGGCGATCTGAGGGTGGACCGCCTGCCAGCGGTGCGATCCGTGCCAAGGATCCTAGACCGCGCGCCCGAGACGCGGTCAAACCTAGGGAAACGTAAACCGCAGCGGGAGGCAGCGGTTTCT